CCAGCCAATCAGCGCCCAGCTCCGCCCCCAGGGGCGGGTGGGGCAGGTCTGCATGGCGGGAGCAGCGTCGCGCCCTCGACGCGCCGCGGGGATTAGGCGGGGGGCTGCAGGTGGAGGGCGGCGCTGTTGGGGCGTGCGGCCAGGATGTAGGTGACATTCTCCCGCAGGAAGCCGGGCCAGTCGACGGTCCTGTGGGCAGATGTGGGCTCACTGGCCACCCCAGCTGGCACTGCTGCTCCCCTGGAAACTGCCCCCAAAATGAGGGTGTCCCCCACCCCTGCACACAGCCCTGCCTCACCTGGGCTCCTCCTGCTTCGTGGCTGGCAGGATCTTCTCTGGGCTCTTGCCATTCCTGCTGCTGGCAGGGCTGCCCTCCGATATGGGCCCCACATGGCTGATGCTGTGGGAGGGAGGAGGATACCCTTCATCCCTGGGTGTTCCTTGCACCCCAGATGGTTGTGGTGGCAGGGGGAGGAGGGTGCACAGGGCTGAGGGGCCACAGAGGGAAGGTGATGAGAAGTGGGAGCACCCCATTTGTGCGCCAAGACCCTGCGGTGGCTGCTGGGGCTGTGGCAGGAATGCCGGCTTGGATGTCACCCCTACACCAGGGTGGGCATCCCCATACCTGACATTGCAGGACAGCATCTCCTTTTGGTGCTTGCGGAACCAGGTGTGCCGGGCCTGGCGACACTCGCCCTCCCCTATGAAGCCATCGTTGTCCTGGTCCAGGGCCAGGAAGGCTGCCCGTGCCCGCTCCCGCTCCTTGGGTGTCAGCAGCCGCAGCAGGGCATTCTAGGGGGTCAGAGAAGGGAAGGGAGAGAGCTCACCTCATGGGAATCTCCTGGCTCCTATGCCCAAAGCTGTGGGGGTCTCCTGCCCTGGGTGCCATGGCCTTTGGTAGTGGCCATGGGACTCAGACCCAGGTGCCACAGCCATGGGTGCCAGTTGTAGGAGCCAGCTCCGGGTGTTGTGACCATGGGAGCTTGTCTTGAGTGCTGTGACCATGGGTGCCAGCCATGGGAGCAAGGCCTGGATGCCACAATCATACCTGTGGCCGTAGTTTCTGCAGCAGCTGGATGGACTCATGGGAGAGGAAGTCCTGCCACTCGATGTGTCCCTTCTTGTCGGGGTCCAGGGCATTGAACTGCAGGGCTGCCTGCTCCTCCTGTGCCTCGGCCATGGGCTTCTCAAACTGCTGCTTGTGCAGCAGGTGTTTGTAGCGCAGGAAGTCATCCAGGGTGAGGCAGGTCTCTGTAGGGGACAGATTGGCTCTGCAGTGCCTGGGAAGAAGGGGGGACCCCCTTCCCCACCTGCCTCCCCCAGCCTCCTGGGATCTGCTGTGGGGAAGATACACACCTGGAATGATCTTGCAGTTCTTCAAGGTCTCCATCAGGCTGTACATCTCTTCTTCTGTCAGCAGCAGATTGAGGTTGTCCTGGGGTGAGGGGCAGAGAGGACCCGTGGGGCAAAGGCATGGGGTTGGCGGAGCATCCCGCTGTATGGCAGCACTGGGATCCCTTGACGGCATGTGGGCGTAGGCACCCACACCCGGAGAGGGATGGTGTACTGTGTGTCACCCTGGGGTTCTGCAGTTGGGTGGCTCCACACCCAATGGCTTTGGCCATTCCAGCTCTGCCACAGCATCTCACGTGCCCAGCAGCCCATCCCATGGCCAAGGTGGGCAAGCAGGAGGTGGGGGGCAGCAGGTCCCCCATTGCCCTGGATGAGGCTGTGGGGTGGGACCCTGTTCATGTCTGTGTGGGGCAGGGTTCCCCAGGGAGCACCCACCACCCAGCAGCAGCCCAGTGTCCCCTCCTCCAGGCACTCACGCAGTAGTAGCAGCTCCAGCCCGTCTCGGTGTGCGCCGTCTCCGTCACCTCCACGGTGCTGTCCTTCTGCAGGTACCCCATGCGGCGCAGGCAGCCGTCGTGGTACACCCGGGGGCAGATGCGGCACGGGAAGAGGCTCTCGGCCGTCCACACCTCGCAGATCTCACACATTTCGTCATTCACGATCTGGGGAGGGGCGGGCAGATCCTCAGCAGAGCAGTGTGGGCAGGGGCCTGCTTCTCCAGGCGTGGGGTGGTGTTTTGCGGGTGGGGTAGAAGTGGATGGGGATGGGAATGCGTGGGCTGAGTAGGGAATAGGTGGGTGGTGAGGTCGTAAGGGACACGGCTGGTTGAGTTAGAGGACGGTAGGCAGGTTTATTGGGATGAATGGTGGGTGGATGGGTGTGGCTGTAGGGTTGCTGGGGCTTTGAGGTTGTATGTGCTCTGGGGTTCAGCATGGTAGTGTGGGTGGCTGGACTAGGGTTGTAGGTTGGCTGTTTCTTAGTGTTGTAAGTATGAATGGATAAGCTGTAAGGTTTTTCACACATTTCCATTCCCAAGAAATACTGCTGGTACCCTGCATGATTTAGCCTCAGAGGGTGGCTGGGCACTGGAACAGGCTGCCCAAGGAAGTAGTCACAGCACCAAGCCTGACAGAGTTTAAGATGTTTTTGAACAATGCTGTCAGGCACATGGCGTGATTGTTGCGGTGTCCTGTGCAGGGGGCGGGACTTGGACTTGATGATCCTTGTGGGCTCCTTCCAGCTCAGGATGTTCTGTGTTCTGTGGTTCTGTGGAAAGCTGTAGGTGGGCTGGGGTGTAGGCTGGTTGGGTTGGTGGGTGGATGGATGGTTAGGGTTGTGGGTATGGATGGGTGGGCTGTAGGATCACGTGCGTTGGGGGTGGGGGGTGGGGATAAAAAACTGGGATAAAACTGTTGGTTTGGAGGGCTGGCTGTTAGAGACTGCAGGTGTGAATGGATGGCTTGAGTTGCAGGCTGGCTGGCTGTAGGCTGACAAACACATAGATCATATTGTCCTTCTCTTTATCCCAAAGCTGGAGCTGCCTTGCCCACCAGTGACCTCTTCTTTCTGAGACATACCAGGTTCCTTCCAGGGCACATCTAAACAGTTGCACCCTCCTCCCCATGTGGCCAGCTGCCCAGCCTGGCCCCTGGCACCCTGCCCCACTGAGCCACGTCCATAGGGCTTTGCCATGCCCAAGGAGGCTGTCACAGCCCTGGGCTCTCCCCAGCCCCTGTCCCCGTGGCTCCATCTGCTCACCTGCTCCCTCTGCTCCAGGTTGATGTCTGGGGGCTCATCATCGTGCAGCTCCCGCTTGGGCCGGATGAAGGCGGGTGGCGTGAACCTGTTGGCCCGGTCAAACTCCTCTGGCTCCACGCCCCGGCCATCCCGCAGCCGTTCCCAGGCTGCTTTGGCACTGGCACTGGCACTGCTCTCCTCTGGCTGGGAAGGTCCTGCCGATGCCTCCTCCTCTCCTTCCTGCACCTCCTGCTCCAGCGTCCCCCGGCGTGAGGTCCCCGCCTCTCCCCGGCGCCGTGTCGATGGCTGCTCCCGCAGCCCGTCCTTGAAGGCTGACACGGCCAAGCTCACCTTCTGCACCCTCTCCACTGTCTGCCGCCTGGACATTAGCACCCCCATGGCTCTGTGGGGGAAGGAAGGAGCTCAGTGCTAGCACCTCGGGGTGCAGTGCTGCTCCCTGCCCTTGCACCGTGTCCCTGACCCCAAAATGTTGTCCTGGTGGCTTTCTCCCAGATATGCAAGGGGCAGCTCAGGGCAGGGAGAAATGGCAAGCTGGCACTGAGATTATCCATGGTGGCCATGGACCCTGGCTGTGGAGGGTCTAAGTGTTGGTGCAGGATTGGGACAAAAGCAGGGAGCTGGTTTGGGGATGCCTCCCCCATGCTTGCTTTATGTGCTTCAGTTTAACAAGAAACACATCCAGGCCTTTCCCACACCAGACCAGTAAATCCTAAAGGGATTGGGACCAGCTGTAATCCTGCCCCTTCCATGCATCTCCTTTCTGCCTTGGAGAAAGCCTCTGTGGCCAGTCAAGGGTGAAAGCTGTCCTCCCTGCAGCTCTGCCCAGGACTGGGGCATGGCAGAGCTGGTTTTGGCTCCCTACCTTCCTCAAATTCCTCTTCACCTTCCCATCTCTCTCGCGCTCACATGCTTGTGTGTATGTGTGTGTGTGTGTGTGCTGCTGCTGTGATCACTGGGCATCCTGCATCCTGCAAGGAGCCATGTGGGAGAGGTTGGACCAGCCATAGGAGGGCTGTGAGAGTGCAGGAGAGAAGGGAACCAGTGCATGGGATTGAGGCACATGAGTTTCAGTACCAAGGGAAGATCATCTTGGGATAAAATGGGGTGGTCAACAGCAGCAGCAATAGCAAGTCAGTCTCTGTCTCACTGGGAGTGGGCTGAAGCTGGGAAAAGCAGGACTTAGTCTCCAACATCCCCAACATTGGGGCACAGCATGACCCCAAATCGGTCCCAGTGCTGCCCTCGTGCCCTTGCTAGGATTGTGTTATGGAAGACGCTGCCCAGGGCAGTGGTGGAATCACTGTCCCTGATCTTGTTCAAAAAACGTGTAGACGTGGCACTTAAGGATACAGTTTAGTGGTGGCCTTGGCAGTGCTGGGTTAACAGTTGGACTCGATGATCTTAGAGGTCTTTCCCAGCCTTAATTATTCTGTGATTCTACGCTGCAGGAAAGAGGCACTCCCAGCGGGAGCCCAGGGACTAGGAGGTAGAGCGGGGAGATCGGAGCAGCAATCCCCCGCCCCGCCAGCTTCAGCAGGGAAGTCCCCAGGTAGCGGGATAATTAGCAGCACGCGCGCACACGCCGGGATCTCGGGGCTGCGGGAGGACCCGGCGCCGCGGGCGCTGCTGTGTCGAGCTGGCAGCGGTAATTACAGGTAGCCCACGGCTTGGCCAGGCCGAATGGAGCGGAAGGCCGAGCGCGCTGGCAGGCAGCGAACACCACTGCGTGCACACGCATGTGATTTCCCAGCCTCTCCCCACCACCGCGGGACCATCTGCCTGCGGATTCCCACGCGCTGAGCCGGGAGTGCAGCACGTGTGGGCCCCGTCCTGCGCGTGGGGGTCCCGGCAGAGTGCCCACAAAGGGGGGTATTTGCACCCGCTGGATGCACCGCCTGGCTCAGAGCTGGTGCCCGGCATTCTCCAGCTCTAAGGGGCTTTACAAAGGTGGGAGCGGGGCAGAGGCGGGGGCTCGTGTCCAAGCCACAGCGACAGCATCTCTGCGGCTGTGCCAGTGGGAAGGAAGAACACCTGGATGTCTCTACATGCCCACCGTGCCACCACCCCGTGCCCGGGCGGCTCAGGATCCTATTCGCTGCGGGCAGGATCAGCTCTGCTGCTGGGCACCATTGCAGCTCTGCCTGAGAACCGAAGAGTCGGGGATATCACAGCGAGATTCCCCCCAGGTCTGCCCTTGCAGGTCTCTGCATCACCACACGCTGGCCAGATCCAGGCCTCCTCATGGCCAAGGCTTGGGGGAGAAGCAGGGAGGAGAGGGTGCAGAGGGGCTGGGCTTACAGAGAAGAGAAAGCCAGCACACCAGTACCCCCAGCAGCCACACTGGTGCTCCTGATCCCCAGCGTGCTGGCAGCTTCTCCCCACAGTGCTGCTGGGCTCTGGGTGCCCCAGCCCCAGCCCCTCTGAGGTGCAGGGGGGCAACCAGGGCAGTGGGAAGGTGGCTGGTGTGTAAACCAGCTGTAACCCCCCTCAGATGTGGTTCCCCCGTGTGTTCATGTCATAGTCACCCACCAGCACTGTGCTGCTGCTTGAAGTTCCCAGCCACCTCCGTTTCCTGTCCTCTCCTAAGTCCAACCTTCAGTGCCTCCTGCCATTTACTGCTGTCTGCCTGAATTTTGGATGGTCTCACTCGTGTCATGACTTGTGTCTGTTCTCAGCCCCGCTGGCCTCTCTGTGCCTGCTAGTGCTGCACAGCTGAACCCTGCCTGCACATCCAGGGTTGAATGGCTTCACTCTGAACTCAGTCTCCAGACCCCACTGCCTTTCCACAAACCCCATTGCTCCCCAGATACCCCAAACTTGCTCTGCACTCTCCAGGGCCCCCTTTGCCCTGTGCCCTGCCTGACGCATTGGCTTTGTGAGGTGAGACATCACCCCCACGCAGAACCATCCCCACTCCTGGAGACCTCTGGGTGTGTGGAGGGAGAACCAGAAGCTCCCTTGCCTCATAGCAGCCCAGACACCTGAGCAGGCCCTATATCTGTGTGTGTTCCTGGGGGAAGGTGTCCCAACTGCTATTTGTGTCCATCCCCTGAGGCACAAAGTGCCCACCACCTGTCTCACCATGACCTGAGGTGCGGGGGCCTCGACCTTGCTCTGCAAGGCTCCACCACGGGGCTATTTTTAGGTCGCCCCCACAGAGGAGCTAAATCTGGGCACAGGCGGGAGCTGCCTGCAAACACCCGGCTCCGCTGAGCCCTGCCAGCACCAGGAGCTGTCACAGCAGGGGTGGGCACCTTCCCACCTCCTTCCCTTCCCTTGCACCCCTGCCCTGATCCTTGGGCAACACCCATTCCCCACACTCTTCTGGTTCGGATTTTCTCCTTTGCTGCTTCATCCCTGCAGCAAAATACTAAGCCAGAAAGCACTTCATCCTCTTAGCACCCATGGATGCGTATTTCCCAGCCCCAAGTACCTCTCTGCATGGGGAAACTGAGGCATGGAGTCAAGGCTGGTGCAGCTAGAGTGAGGATAAGCCTGTTTTAGATGGGGATGGGGGCACTGGTGGGACAGAGCTGGTAGCCAGCATGGAGACACCCCAAGAGAAGGAAGCAGGGCAGAGCATCCTGATGCAAACAGAGCCAATGGCCCCTGCGTGGCTGCAAAACCTCCTTTCTCCCACAGCAGAGCCCACGTGGGGTTATGGGGTGCCAGGTTTGTGGTGCAGGGCGATGAGTGACACACAGGTGGGTGTATCGCGGCACTGCGGGGGCGTTGTGGTGGCTGGGAACACAGGATGGATGTGGTAAGGAGCAGCACAGGGATGTGTTTGTTAGGGCTGGATGTGTTACGGGGTGGATGATGTGTTAGGGGTGGATGTGTTTTGGGGTGGATGTGCTACGGAGTGGCTGGCAGCGCGGGGCGGGTGTTACGGCCCACAGCGGGTGTTGCAGCGACTGTGGGCATGGGGTGGGTGGTGGCTTTGGGTGCAGGGATGTTGCAGAAGCTGTGGGTGTGGGGTGGTGTCTGTGGCAGCTGGGGGTGCGGGATGGGTGTTTTTCAGGGGGCCACGGGTGTAGGGTGGGCTGTTTTGGTGCCCAGCGGTGGCATGGGGAGATGGGGGTGTGGAGCCACAGGGTCTGTAGGGCTGACTGTCACCTGCCCCATGGTGTGTCCTCGCTGCAATGCCCCACCAGCAAATAAAGCGTCAGCAGGTGCTCGGGCTGGTGCACACATGAGCAGGGTCCCTGGCACCCACCTTCAAGGGGAGGCATCACGGGTGTGCCAGGAGCAGAACCCCCTGGATTGCAGCTCCCCAGTTGTGGGGAAGGATGCGCCTGGTCCCCACAGGCTCTCTGTGGTCCAGGCCTCCCCCCTGCCTCAAGAGTTTCCTGAGATTTTTACCCTACAGCACCTTACTGGGAGCAGCATTAGGGACCCTGGGAGCAGAGGGGTGGGGTACCAATAGGAAGGACACCCCGGGATATCAGAGCCTGTGGCTGCCTGGTCCCAGCGCTTAGTCTGAAGGGCATGGAGCAGGGCTGGGAGGAGCTGCCGTGGCTCTGGCATGGCTCTGGTACAGCCCTGCACACCCTGCCAGCCCCTGCCTGCCTGGGGCAAGGGGGGCCAGCAGTGAAGGCAGGAGGCTCTACTTAGGGGCCATTGCATCCCACCTCCTTGAGCTGGTTAGGGATTGCCACAGGGGTCTGGCAGCACCCTCTTGTCCCCTCTCCCGGGCAGACGGCACATGCTGTGACTGTGGCACTGCTGGGGCTGCTGCTGTGAGGTGATCCAGTTGCTGTGGGTCAGGGGGGTCCATGGCTGATGGTACCCTCCCTACCCTCTGCAGGGCTCTGGGAGTTCAATGGGGATGTCTAGGGGGGTGGCTGGAGCCCCAGATGTGCTGCGTCCCTGTCCTGGGGACACTGAGCCAGTGGCTGCTCTCCCTGCTGGATCAGGTTGCCTGTCCTGCCGCGCCATGGCAGATTTTATAGGTGTGTCGCACGCTTCCATCTCCCAGAGGGGGATGAAAATGCCGTGACAGCAGAGTCCCTTCCTCTGCAGCAGACACAGCTCCTGCCCAGTTCTCCACTTCTCCTCCTCATCTCCCTCCCCAGCCCATCTCCCCAGTACCGACATGAGGACCCCAATGCCTGGGCAGGACCTTCCCACCCCATCCTCAACCCTCCTCCCAGGCACTCCATCCCAGGAGCTCTGCACACCCTCTCAGGCACCAGGACCTGGGGGGCAGCGGGAGAGCCCACCCAAGGATGTCACAACGTGTGGACAGCCCATGCCATGCACCCAGCAAAGCACCAACTGTGGCAAAAAAACCCACTTACCAGGGTGAGGGTCCGTCTGGGGAACACGAGCCCTAGACAGAGGTCCACACGGTGTCCATCGCCGCTGCCTCTGGCCGCAACCCCCTCTCCACCCGTGGGTGCTCACCACATCCTGTGCCTCGTGTGCAAATTCCTGTCGGGGGATGGAGCGGTGAGGGTGGTACCCGAGGAACCAGAGCCCTGCACTTGCTGCCGGAGGATGCAGGAGACAGCGAGATGCTGGGAGCGGATGCCTGTGTCTAGCGCGCGCACACACGCGCGCACACACACACACGCACACACACCACACACACTTGGAGGAAGCAGGGAGCTAGCTTGTGACTGGGGCTGAGCAGATGCAGCCTGGTTTGCTGTCCCTGTACCAATTGCTGCCTGAGCTGTGTTAAACAGCTCTCTGAGACACGAAGCTTTTTTTTTTAACCGGGCTGACGTGTGCTGGGAGATACCAATAAAAGCTTTCCCTGCATCTCCTCTGGCCCCCGGGGCCGAACCGCCTTTCTTAGAGAAAATCTCAAGGACTGTGGAGATGGGGCTGCATCCTCGGAGGAGTGAAGGTCTCACCTGCCCACCCACAGGATCTTCCCCAGATCAGTGCCCCAGGCGCAGGCTACCTGTGCCTGCTTTAACTCGATGCCTGCTGGTCAGTGTTGCAGGCAGGCTGTCCTTCCTACACCATGGTGCAGTGGGGGCACGGTGACTGCTGGCTACGTGCAGCCCGGTGTGCCCAGTACAGTGCAGCACCAGGGGTTTGGTTCTCCTAGTCTCCAGGACTGAACGTATCACCTGGGTGCACACCACAGGACTGCAGTGGGTCTGGGGGCTCATGGAAGGTGTGAGTGAGGTGTTGGGGCAAGGGTGAGGATGCTGGTGGGGAGAGGAGGGCACAGCCCTAATTCAGCACCTCTGAAGGTGAGACATTTGGTCCACGTGCATCCCCAGCTGCCCCACATCAGCCTCGTAGAGATGGTGACTCAGTCCCCTGACACCTTCCTGAGAGGGGGTACTGCTGGGTAAGAGGGCTGTGCTTTCCTCTTCAGGAACTGCCAGCTCTGCCTGGGGATGACTTAGGGTGAAACAGATTCTGAGCCCTCCTAGGAGCAGCTTCTATACAGGTTTGGGATTGGTGCTGAAAGTGAAAGCAGAGGGGCCAGGGCAGTGGGGGTGCTGCAGGGCTGCCCTGCTCTTTGACCAGGCTGGATACAGCAGGTCTTCTCCTGATTAGGGGAGAGGGAAGCTCAGCTCAGCCCCACTGCAGGGTTCCTGTTCCCGGGATGCTGCTGGGGGGAATCCCACATCCCAGCCTGACATCCTGGCCATGCCTGTCCCTGTGCCCTCCACTGGGCAGGTCCTTTCTGTCTCTGTGCAGATCCACCAGCCCCACAGAGCACTGGACATGTGGGGAGCAGCGAGCAGCAGCAGGGAGGCAGGGATGTCACCCTCTCCATGCAGAGAACACAGAGAGTATGAAGTGGGAACATGGGATGAAGGATGAAGCTTGATGACTGAAGCTTCCTGACTTCTGGAAGATGGGCAGCACCATCCCTGACAGTCTTCTACACCTCTGAAAAAACTGTGGTGGACATAGCATCCGACACTCCTGCAGTGCCCTGCCTCCTCAGGAGCAAGTGGCTGCGACAAGGCAGTCCCAAGGGTGCTTCCAGCACCCTATTTGGGGCACATATGCTCCAGCTTGTGCCACACGCTGGTGCCAGGCTGGTTCCTGACCCCTGACTGCTGCTCATCAGCTGTGCCAGCCCTTTGTAGACCTATGGACACTGACACTGATCCCACAATACTCAGACCTTCATCACAGACCCTTCCCAGTCCCCCATGTCTGAACTGGGAGTGAGCTGAGACCGTCCGCAACTCATGTCACCTGCAAGCAGATCCAGAGGTTGGAAAAGGCAGCATCTGGGTGTTGTGCTGGGATCTGAGCCAGTCTGCAGCTCTCTTCTCCACGGCTGGGGATGCACAAAGCTAGGCTGCAGACAGGATTTATCTGCTTTCTGCTTGTGGCTGTCAGGTCCTGTCTTGCTTCAGTCCATCAGCCTTAACAGAGCCACTGGTTGCCCTGCCCTGGCCCAGGATGCCTCTTTGTGCTTCATCCTTCCCCAGGGATGCTTCCTTTTAGGGTGAATCACATTTTGCATTATTTAGCCCGGGGAGCATGGTGAAAAGGTGTTGGGGTGGCTGTGGGGTGGAGAAAGTGGAGGCCAGCTATGAGGCCAGCAGGAAACATCTCCACGGATGAACCATGGCCCCAGAGGACTGGGGAGGATTGTGCTGGCAGGCTGTGAAAGCTTTTAGTGCCTCTGTGGGGAGAGCCCTGCCCTGGCAGTCCTGTGGCAGAGTGCAGCGATTCCTGGAAAAGCAAAGGCGAGCAGGAGCCCCAGCCCTGCTCCTGCTCTGGCTGCCAAGGGCCTTGGGAATCCTGCTGCAGGCAGGTGCCGTGTCCCACCAAAAGAGAGCTACAGCCTGGATCCAGTTCTGCAGGGAGCATTCAGCAGCCTCCACCCTATGCAAGATGCAGGATGCTCTCGCACCCTCTGGGGCAGAAGGAAGACACGGTCCCTTGTCCTCTTTGAGAAGCCACGGTGTGTCTGGCTGCTCACTGGAGCGGCCGCAACGGCAACAGGCTGGGGAAGCTCCTGCCGGAGCCGGCAGCGCCGGTCTGCTGGAGGAGGGCTGCAGGGGCGGAGGTGAGAGCTGAGCTGCAGCGGGAATGAGCATTTTCGTCAGCTCCTCTCCCCGCTCCCAAATCTCGCATGACGCCCGCGTGTAGGTCACTGGCTGCTGCGGCGACGCGGCGTGTGGGCTCACCATCTGCGGCTGCTTCTGCAGCCCGCCCGGGAACGCCGCCGTGTGCTGCCCTGCCT